AAACAAGAGTGACACCCATCAAATCCAAGAGACAGGGGTGACTGGCAGGCACTGAGTAACAGTGATATTATAATTATTTTTTTACAATGTGGATATTCAGCTTTCTGAATATCAAAGTAGCAGGAACCATTTCTGCATTCTAAAAGAATCAAAATGTATTACTCCTTTGAGGCAATGACTGTGAAATTTGGGCATTCTTTCGAATTCCACTGACCATTAGTATGGTAGGAATCAGCCGTGACTCGTCACTGAGTACATTTGTTTTATTGCACCATTAAGAAAAAGTAATTTTGAAAAATTTGTTCTGGGCGGAAGGGTTTTTGTAACCTAAAGTTCTCCTCCTTTTTCTTTAAAACTATACCAAATTGTTCTTTTATAGAATTATTTAATATGTAAATTATATTGCTATATATAAAATATGTTCCTATAAAAAAGAAATAGACATTTCTAGAATGTGCTGACTGTGAGAAGGGGTGACCAAGGGCTCAAAGTCAGCCACAACTGTCATATTTTCTTTTTGGTGGTACTGGGGATCGAAGCCAGGGCCTCCTGAATACTGGGTAAACTTTCTACCACTAGGCTATATCCTTAGTCCTCTGTCATATGTTCATCATTTCTTTTTAATGGTCTCTGAAACTAATCTGACACTGATTATTTTTATGATCGCATGTAAGCAATGGTATGTTATCCATGCCATTACTTTTGGATAAAGTTTTTAAGTTTTGAAAGTGAAGCTGGAGCAACGTTTTATTAATTTGACTTTGAATTAGGCTCTTAAGTGAGACAGGATTTTGCAATATAGCCCAGGCTGACCTCAAACTGGTGACAATCTTTCTTTTTCTTTTTTTAGCTGTCATTTTTTTAATTGAAGGAAATTTTCCTCATACACTATATTCTGACCATGCCTTTCCCCTCCCTCAATTCCTCCTAGATCCTCTCTATCGACCTACCACTCTCCCATTCTCTCTCCAAAAAACCAACCCCCCCCCCAAAAAAAATAAACCTAACAAAACCAAAGCCAAAATAAACAGCCAAAAGACCAAAAATAATGCCCAAACAAAGCAATTTGAGATAAAATGCTACAAAAACACCACTGAATGTGTTTTGTATTGGTCAACTACTCCTGGGCACGAGGCCTGCCATGAAGTGCATTGAACACACGGAGAGAGACTCTTTTGGAGAATACTAATTGTCCCTTTGCAAGCGGGTATCAATTACAAATGACCTCTTGGTTAGGGGTGGGAGTCCACTTCCCCCTTTCAGCACTGGGACCCCATCTGGCTTGAACCTATGCAGGCCCTGTGCACGCTGCTGCAGTCTCTTGAGTCCGTATATACATCAGCTCTGTTGTGTCTGGAAGACACTGTTTACTTGGAGTCAGTCACCCACCACCTCTGGCTCTGACAGCATTTCACCTCCTCTTCCCCACAGATCCCTGAGCCCTAAGGGGAGGAGTTTAATGAAGACATCCACTCAGGACTGAGTGCTCCAAGGTTTCTCACTTTCTGCACATTGTCCAGTTGTGAGTCTCTGTGCTAGTTCCCATCCACTGCAGGAAACTTCTCTGGTGATGGCTGACATGTGTGAGTTCACCAATCCAGCGAGGCTGGGCTGACCATCAATCCTCAATGATCCCCATCTGCTCAGCGCAGGGATTGCAAGTGTGTGTGTGCCACCCCACCTGGAGACCTGAACTCGGGACTTCATGCTTGTACAGCAAGGACTTTGCCCATGGAGCCTTCCCCTCGGTTCAAGACTTCATCACAAAATTCTACAGTCAACTATTGAGGAAAGCGTCTCTCCTAACAGTTTTGGTCCCAGCTGTCTCTCTAAGAATGCCAGGAATGTTACTCTTTAGATTCTCAAAGGCCAGGAAAAATAGATCTATTCTAATAGATCGAATTTACAAAGAGCTTGCACTTCCTGCGTAAGGAAGGTAAAGTTGGGATTGGTTTGGAGCTCTGCTCTTTGGAGCTAGACAGCAGACATAGAGGGAAACTGATTCAGGGAGGTGTCTGCAAAGAGTGTGGCCCAGCACCTCACTCTAGGTATACCCAAAGAGTGGGAAACACCATGATTGGTGAGCACAGCAGCCCATTGCCTTTGTGTGCATCCTAGAATCTCCTGTGATTATTGCTGCAATACTTCAGAGGCCCTGTGAATGCCAGCTGATCCCAGTGAAGCATTCTACTTTTACTGAGCTCTAGCCCCCAGACAAGGTACCATGTGTCAGTCTCATTCCCAACAGCCTGGCCCACCTGGACTTCTAGAAAAATGCTTGACGTCACCCCAAGGTGCTCTCTATCTCATTTGGGGCCTGGGTGAGCTAGAAAATGACTCCCGTGGCTCTCAGTGGAATTAAAGTGTTCCAGGACCATCCTGCCCTGGAAAGTCAGAAGGAGTGGACTGAGTGTGACCATTGGCACATAACAGCAGCGAGTCCAGTTCCACACTCTAAACATTCTTAAACTGAGTGTCTCAGGCTGGGCAGTAGTGGCACACACCTTTAATCCCAGTACTTAGGAGGCAGAGGCAGGCAGATCTCTATGAGTTCAAGGCTATCCTGGTCTACAGAGAGAGTTCTAGGACAGCCAAGGCTACCCTGTCTGAAAAAAAATTTTTTTTCTTTAATTTTTTTAATGTTTCCTTGCCATTTTCTCATGTCCCTAGTGAGGTTCTAGGTTACTATGTGAGTGAGTCTTTAGTTATATTCAAGCCATGAAACTCTTTTATTGCACCCAAAATAGACTGCAGATGAGGCTTCTCCAATGAGAACATTGTTCTGAAGAAAGAATTCACGGATAGTTCAGCCATCCAGAGCTGCAATGTTCTCTCCTAAAACTCCATAGAGATTGTTTTCTTCACAGCAAAGTAAATACATAATAAATGCATAGGGCTGGTTGAATCTCTCCTTTCCCTGGAGTTACGTTCGCAGGATTTGTGAAACCTGCCTGACTTCACACTGCCAAGTCCATACAGAAGCCCCATCATCCACTTCAGCTCTTCTGCTCTAGGCCAAATTAAATGTCCACTCTGGAGGAGGAACGGTAAAATGTACAGGGATCCTCCAGCTAACGCTTCCAAGGGAGCATGTAGAGTGATGCATGCGGCAGCCACTTCTACCCGTCCCTTCCTGGGTCACTGCCTCTTCTGGAAGAAGTCTCCAGTTCAAAGACACATGGTTTTAGAGTGACCCAATACATAAGCAGCTTGATGTCACAAGGTGCCAAGGCAACAATGGTAAGATCTCCCAAAAACAAAGGTCATGTGGGCCCCAGTGAGGCTTCCTGAAACGGCATGGTGCTGTCATGCTTTGATTTCATGCAGTTATTTGCCTGTGGTCTAACATTATGTCCTGTTTGGTTCTGAATGCCAATTTGACACAGTCCAAAGTCCCCCTGAGAAGGGACTCTTAATCTAGGGATTGTCCAGCTCAGCTTGGCCTGTAGACATGTCAGTGGGGCAGTGTCTTCATTATTAATTGATGTAAGAAGGCTTGGCCCACGATGAGCAACATCATTCCCTGAGCAGGTGATCTTGAGCTGTCTAAGAAAGAAACTGGCTAAACATGGGCCTAAGAGCAACCCAGTAAGTGGTGTGCCTCCGCGGTTTCTGCCCTGACTTCTGTCCATGATGGACTGTGACCTGGAGGTGCAACCAAATGAACTCTTCCCCCCTGTGAGTTGCTTTTTGACAGAGTGCCATAACACAGCAACAGAAGGGGACGAACACCTCGGCCCCTCACTCCCTCTGAGAAGCATCCTCTTAGTCATTTGACTCCGCCCCTGTACCTTGAGACCCGAGAGCCCAGAAATGTGTTCTTCACGCTGTCTTCTCTAAGAGCCAGCATCCAAAGGCACTTAGCATTGCATGCCTCAACCTGAACGCAGGGATCAAAGGCATAATCACTCCACATCAAACTATAATGTTCCTTAGCTCATCGTGTCTGAACACATAGTCCTCCAGAACCACCTGAAGCCAAATGCATTACCATCTACAAAATACCACCCTTGGATTAATTTACCAACTTTCTAAAAATTCCAAATCAACCCTCTCCCGACTCCCCACCCCATTACTGAATGGAGAAAAACGTCTCAATAAATACAATGAGCCTGGCACTAACATTTTGAACGGCAGTTCTGAACTTACTTTCAAACTAGCTTCTCATCTATCTGCCAGCTGCCTTTACAACAGCATGTCCTTATTTAGTTCAGGCTTCTGGCCTGAAAGCAAAGCAAAGCAAATATCAATAACAATGAAACGTACACTACATTAATTGCAAAAGGAAATGAGTTTTTAAACAAAGCAAATGCTGCGGGCCACGAGCTGCCCCTGCTGTGGCAGTGTTCTGAGCATTTCAAAGGACATTGAAGAAAATTGGGAAAGATCAATATCAAGACAACAGTGATCTGCGAGGGTAATAAGTAAAGATGTCTGTCAAGGCCCATTAACTGCTAATCACACGTTGGATCAAAACCAGCAGAACAGCTCCTAGGCTAATGCAGCGGCTGCCTGTGGGTCATCCTAAAATGCAGCCAGGGCAGCCCTGGGTTTGAGTCATGTTAATAGGACTCCTGGTGTTTTGTTGCTGATGAGGGGACAGAGGGCCTTCCAGAGGGTCTCCACTTGAAAGTGTAAGTGAAGGTCCATTCCAAGCCCCATCAGACAGATTCTGCAGAGAACACTGATAACAGGGACCAGAAGATGAACCACTCCTGAAGAGAGCTTGTCAGAGCCACAGAACGGATTGCCCCCAGGGGCTGCCCCATGCTGTGGAGTTGGATTCCAAAGACCTGAACCAGGCTTTCTCTAGATGGGCAGGGAGATGGGGGTTTAAAAAAAAACAAATAAACAGGAAAAAAATGTGTGGTTTTAACACATTGCATAGAAAATAGAAATCTCTTAAGACATACTCCAGGGACTGCACATTTTTGGGCAAACTGCACATTATTTAAATCATCATAATTACAGATGATAATGCACTTTAGGTGTTGTTTTTCAGTAATTATAACATTTTTATTTATAAAAACAATTAGACAATTAAACTAATTAAACAATTAAAGTTCCTAGTACCTTTTTCAACATATGGTACTTCATAAAATGTTTTCCTCTATGAAGAGGGACCAAACAAATTTACGTAAGTGTCTAGATGAGCTCCTTTTTCCACGGGCAGCACAAACTCTTCAGGCTCTCATAGGAAATTTTCTCTTTCCACTTGCTGGAATACATGTAGGTTCACGCTGCTTCAAATCACCTGATCACCTTTTGGGTGGATCTTTACGGAGGTGCTCTCTCCTTGCACCCCCAGGGGAAGGACTGGACAGATGTCTCTCTGGTTCCTGAAAGTCTTCATCATTGTCATCCATTATCCAGTCTCTGGCCACTGACAGCAGAAACTGATTACACTTCAGTTTTGCTTGTGGATTGAGGATGTTGTAGACTCTAAAGGAGTTGAAAAGTCCACAGTTTATAAAGGACAGCACTATTTTTTGTCCATTTCACTGTTTTCCTTAGAATGGATAACATGTGAGGAACTGATCCGCATGGTCAACACCTTCCATGTGGGCATTGTATTCCTCAATGCAGGTCGGTTTTATAATATTCTCTCCCGTTTTCCTTTTTTTTTTTTCCTGTTGTGGAGACAGAAGTGTCACAGACGTTGATATCATTCGGACATCCTGTTTGTCTTTCCATGTTAGGAGAAGAAGAACATCACCTTTTCTGGACAATATTATGTCACCTTTCTTCGTTCTTCATGTTTTCATTTTCAAATTTGGTGGTAAACCTCCACTCTCCCTGACAGGCCCACAGACTCTAGTATGGCTCTTGTAGCAGCCATTCAACAGTAGATGTAGTTAATATTGTAATAATTATCCTGGTAAACATGGTGCCATATGCCAAGACAGGGTCCAAGGGCTGAAAGAAGAGTTTCTTGCAATCTTTCCTTCAGCAGTGTATATCTCCATATTACAGACAGAGCTGGCGTCACTCCCACACACCATCCAAACAAGTCAACCATAATTGTTATTTCCACTAGGTTGTATGTGGGAAATTTTAAACGTCCTCTCCATGGACTCATTCCCTCGTCCAAAGATAGCTGTTGCTTTGGCTTGTATATTGTTCGAAATTTATGGAAGAAATAATCCAGCACAGGCTGGATCTTGGAAAGTTTCCCCGAGTGACTGTCCATTTTGGTGTTATCATTGAAATGCCAGAATGTCCATATTTGCTCAAATCTATGGTGACTCTTTGTCTGTGGAAATATAGGGGTACATATTAAAGGATCTGTTGACCAATAGTCTCCCAAGCTATATTTTCTTGTTTGGCCCATCAGAATAATTAAGTCAAGGAATTTCTTGATGTCCTTCTGTGTAACTGGAGGCCACTTCAGTGTTCTAGATGGTGTTTTGAGTTTCACTGCAGTTTGATCATGATGGTTGGACAGCTCTTTGTACAACATCTCAAACAACTCAACACCAAATGAGACATTAAATTCATCACCAAAAAAGAGATTGGTCACAGAGGGTACAGAGTCACACTGAGAAGGAAATGTAGTGACTCCGGCATGACCTTCAAACATCTGGAAGTGTGGTGGTGTGTCAATTAAAACCAAAAATTATCAGGAGCTTCATCAGTGTGGGAATCTCTTGAAAGCATCACCACCTTGGTTTCCTTCCAGGGGTAATAATGTCACTGCCAGGAGAATCAGGAGAATAGTCTCCAGAATCATCAGAAGCAGTCATCAGCATCTTCGATCTCACTAGCAATATCTGAAAAATTATCTTTACTTCTGGAAGTCTATCAGTTTCATTGGTTTCCCACCTTTTTCTGAGTGAGGACATTTCTAAAAGCGCCAGGAACTTAAAGACAAAGATTATTCGAATGACCAAAATACAATGTAACTGCAATGCTTTATGGGTTTGTGCAATTATATAGTTTTTCCTAGATTAACCTGCATGTTTTCCACCAGTGAGATCTCCTCATTCGATGTGGACAAGACAGTATCTGATATCTAAGGTCCATAACAGATGGAGAGTGAAAAAAAAATGAGAAAACTTGTGAGTGGTCCTTAACACAGGGAAACCCTGTCTTGAGAAAGCAAACAACAAAATAAGATTTATTTTTAATTTAGGAATAGTTGCCTGCATATATGTATGTGCACCCCAGGTGTGTAGTACCTGTGGAGGCCAAAAGAGGGGGTCAGATCACTTGGAACTAGAGTTAGAGGCAGTTATGAGCTGCCTAACCTGGGTGCTGGGAACCCAGTTCTCTGCAAATGTAGCAAGTGCTCTCAACAGCTGACCCATCTCTCCTGCCCCATATATATACTATTTAAAGAAGCTATTTAAGGGAAGCCCTCCAGTCTCAGGATAACCAGTCATGGGTTCTATGGCTGAAGCTGCGCAACCAGTACACCCCAGACTTGATTTCCAGAATGATCCAGCCCTGCTCTTCAACGTGGATCTGCAGCAGAAATGTAGCTGCTGAGGCCTCCCTCAGCCCCACTGAGTCATATGGGAATCACATGTTATGGGGAGATGGAGGGAGAGAAGGACCCTGAGATTGAGGCCAGTCTGGGCTACATAGCAAGACCCCATTGGAGAGGGACGGGAGGGGGTGGTCCACAAAGAGTAAGGATTTAGTGGCAGGACTTGCTTATCAACATCCACAACCTTCCAGAGAGTGAGTGCTCGTGAGGTGGAGGCAGCGGTTTTTCTCTTTTCAAATTGCCTGGAAGACGTTATGTCCTGAAACTGCAGGAATGACCTAACTGAACACTTGATGTAATCACCGAAACTCCACTTGGCCTCCCTAATTTGATGAAGGAGGAAACAGAAAGAGATTAGAGGATTGAGCAGGGCTTAAAGAGGACTGCCTTTCAAGTGCTGGGTCAACTTTTCTTTATTTTAAGAAAAGCTCAGCATATCTTCTGGTTCTACCACTCGGCGCAGAGACTCAGCGCAGGTTAAGAAAAAGCCTTTGTTTGCTTCCTGTCTCATCAATCAACCTCCTTGCCTCCATTCCTCACGTGCACAGAAACACATTTAGCTGCCCTCTCTCCGAACGACTCTTTACATTAGAAGCCTGAGGTGTCCTCAGGTTCAAAGAACAGCATTTCTAAGGTGTCTTCCAGTTCAAAGAACAGCACTTCCTGGGGGCTACATGCCTTGTCTGGAGCCCTTGAAGGTGGATTACAGACAGTAGCTGGCTGCATATTTGAACAGCAGAGTCTTGTGAAAATTGCTTCTAAATAATTGGAGATGTGCTGGACTGTCACATGGATCCCATGAGACAGTGAGAGAGAGAGATGGTTCGTTTCCAAATCCTGCCCTACCTAGAAATCCAAGCTGAGGTGAGGTGGGGTTAATCTTGGCATAGGAGAAATCTTGGTTTCTCTGATTTGCCTCTACAGTCAATAAAGGAAAGCCTCACAGATCTGAATCCATGAGAGTAAAAAAGAAGATTTTAAAAGCATGTTTAGTGATAATTGTTATATAAAGTCAGCAGCAAAACTGGAAAAATACTATATACGCCATAGACAAAGGACTATGATCACTAATATGATGGCTCAGCGGTTAAGAGCACTGGCTGCTCTTCCAGAGGACCTGGGTTCAATTCCCAGCACCCACATGGCAGCTCACAGCTGTCTCTAACTCCAATTCCAAGGAATCTGATACCTTTACAGATATACATGCAGGAAAAAACACCAATGCACATAACTAAAACTAAATTTTTTTTAAAAAAAAAGTCTATGTGGCGAGGGGTAAAATACAGTAGAAAAAATGGAAAGGAGCATAAATTAACAATTTGAGAAATCACATCTACCACTGATGGTTGGTGGACAAACAGAAAAAGATTCAAACTCAATAATAACTAGAAAATTTCAAATATTCCTGAGACACCATTTTCCTCTGTGAGACCAGCCCAGCACTCGGGAGGCAGAGCCAGGCGGATCGCTGTGAGTTCGAGGCCAGCCTGGGCTACCAAGTGAGCTCCAGGAAAGGCGCAAAACTATGCAGAGAAACCCTGTCTCAAAAAAACCAAAAGAGAGAGAGAGAGAGAGAGAGAGAGAGAGAGAGAGAGAGAGAGACACCAGCAAAAGTTTCAGAACATGAGCACATGTTCTCTTTGGCGGTGTGGGGACGCAGACTCTAGGACGTTTCTGAGGAGAATGAAAATTGATAGGACCCATCGAGGGGGAAATGTGTTGATATCCAATCAATAAAATCATTATGTACACATGCATTTATGCTCGGCCATTCTGCCTCTGGAAATCTCCCTTGAAGACATCTCTCCAGCAATACAGCAACATATATGTGCTGACAGTCCCTCTTCTAGGCACCTTTTAAAACATATTCTACCTGGAAGAGAAGTGGGATGATCTATGGTACATTAATCCACGGTCTTAATTAGGGTTTTGCTGTGATGACACACCATGACCAAAAAGCAAGTTGGGGAGGAAAGGGTTTATCTGGCTTACCCTTCAGCACTGCTGTTCATCACTGAAGGAAGTCAGGACAGGAACTCAAACAGGGCAGGATTCTAGAGGCAGGAGCTGATGCAGAGGCCATGGAGGCCTCTGGCTTACTAGCTTGCTTCCCATGGCTTGCTCAGCCCACCTTCTTATAGAAGAGCCCAGGACCACCAGCCCAAGGATGGCATCACCCACCATGGGCTGGGCCCTCCCTCACTGATCACTAAGAAAATGCCTTACAGAGCTCATGGAGGCATTTCCTCAAACAATAGTTATTGTCTCACACTTCTGGAGGCTGGTAGTCCAAGAGCAAGGTGCGGGTACTCCTAAGGCCTTAAAGCTTGGCAACAAGTTCCTTGACCCACTGGGCCATCTTTTCAGCCCAACCAGCCTTTTAAAACACACACACACACACACACATCCCAAATAAGAAGTAACCACTTCATTAGTTAAGTTAACATGAAGTATTTAGATCCTAGTATCTGTTGTCTAGTGTCTGATTCTGCCCACCACCACCACCCTCTACCCCCAACATGATTTATTCCTCCTAATGTTTCTATGAGAATGAACATGAACACAGCCAACAGCCCAAGGCAACCTAAAAGCTTGTTGATGTGGGATGCTGGTCATGTCGTCTCCAGCTTGAGTTTTCTGTACTAATAAAACTTTATTGCTCAAATTCATCCCCCTCCAAGTTTCACATCCGAGAGGGAAAGGCACAAATTCCCAGCACATTCAGTATGGGAGTTGTACACTTTCATCCCAGGAAGTACGTCCCACCCAGACAAGCTTGTTTTCTAACCCTTATCCCCCAGCCTCTCGTACTTCTTCTGTTTGATGCATCTTTCCTTTTTCTTACTCTTTCAGTCCCAGGAGGGTTTTTCCATGTAAGAACCTTTCCTAACAGCCTGAAGGCAGAGGTCACCTCCTCTGATCCCTGTTTTTCACAGTTCTTCGAGAACTTTGTTTGTGATGATCTGATAGCACTTAGCCACTCTGTGCTCTCTTGTTCACCCCCC